TAAGGGTCACTATGGCTCATGGGAAATGATCACTGGAGATGAAATTCAGGTAATGCGGGACTCAGAATTTTGGATCCTCTTTCTGTCTGGGTGGTAGGAGGTCAGGGTCATTTTAAAAATAATCAGACAAACAAAAAAGTTGCAAGAGTGGAAGATGGGGTTCCAAAGGCCATTTCTCTCCTTGTCAGGACGCACTTGGTCAGCAAGCTACTGGGCCCCCACAATAAAGAACACCAGACCGGGCACTAAATAGGGCAGTGAAAACATTGCAACTCAATTTTCTTTAAAAATAATTTTTCTTTCAAATGGCCTCATGCTTCCAGACTGGAAGCAAATGTGAATCGTGCAGTATAGAGCAAAGTGTGTGGGTTTTAGTGTCGGCAGACTTGAACTTAAAGCTTGCCAAGTTACTTAACCTCTTTTAGTCTCAGATTATTCCTTTGAAAATAAAATAGGAATAATAATGTCTGCCTTACAGGGTTGTGAGAATTAAGTGAAATGTTGTTGAAAAAATATTTGGCACATAGCTGTTTCTATCTATTAAATGATATATAAATGAAGTAATGAATAGAAACAAATTTAAAAAGCATTAGATGGTATTCTATATGTTTCTTCTATGTGTTTCATTTACCTTTTCTAGTTTTCTGTCCTCTGTGGTCTATTATGATTTTCCATAGTCATGATTAAATGTCAGTCATGGCCTAAGCACCCACAAAGCTCTAAAGGAAAATGTGTTTCATGATGTGACCCCAGCCTCCATGATGACACCAATCACATGACTGATTCAGCCGAGAAGAGGAGGCTGGGTATGGGCATTATTTAAATATAGGAACACCATGTCCAAGAACACTTTTCTTTTATTGTTTTTGCCATTTCTCCCAGAGTGCCTCTTCTGGGGACTGGTAAAATTTTTCATTAGGGAACAATATTTGGAAGATGCCAGATGGTGCCTTGCCTCTTTTATGGTCATTAAACATTTAAACTGAAAACATTTTCTCATGATGATGGAGCTGTTCTTATTGTTTTACCATATGAATCGTCTTTTCTCTCTCTCTCCCTTTTGGTAGATTCTAAACTCATTTCTTTCCAACCTGAGACTTATTCCAGAACTTTAACCAACTCTTGGTTTCTGACATTTTGGGGAAGAACATCTATTATAAATCTGAGAGGACTAAAGACTTGCAGTACTTGTGACAAAAAGAAAAACAAAAGCATAAGTAGGGAGGCTAAAGCATTTGGCACTGAGTGGCCTGTCGTGAAAGCCAACATATTTAATAGATAGACCAGTATTAACATGCTTTTCTGTGATACTTCATGATGTTCAAATCCTACCTCTATCTGTTTTACCAATCTTACGAGGTGGCTAGGGCAATTATTATTATTTCCATTTTGTAAATGAGAAAACTGAGGGAGACATGTGACAGTTAAGTGCCTTGCTCAGTTTTATTCATTCAGCAACTATTTATTGAGCACCTGCTATATGCTAGGCATTATGCTGGGTATTAATGATCCAGATGGACAAGGCAGAATGGTCCTTGCCCTGTGGAGCTGACAATTTCAGGGTCACATGCTAAGTAGCCAAATGGCAAAGGAAATGATGGCTTCTACCTCTTGGTCCAGTGAAAGATCAACACTAACCATGGGAATATACTAAGTTACACATTTATTTAGCTCCTTGAGTTCAGCTCTGCCACTTGCTTAATATTTTTCTTTCACTTGAAATCTTATGTCAGCTCACATTCCTTCATGATGTCACTGAAACCCCCTTACTGGGGATTGAGTATTGAATTTGTTGTGTTTCCTTTTGTTTGCTTCCTACTTTTTGCTTTAGGCTGATATGTGCTAAGTGCTATAAATGACTCATCCCTCGCCATTGTGTGGTGCGGCAAGACATACTAGAAAGCTTCCAGAAGACAAGGCAGTGTATGTGTGGTGTGTATATACGTGTGTGTGTATATGTACACACACACACATACATGTAGGTCTGTACTTATATGGATATCATAAAGCATTAGTGTAAAGCAGTCATAGTAAAGTGCTAATTTTGCAGTATAAAAAACACTGTAAGTGGGAAAACAAAACAAAACAAAAGAAAAAACAGAGAAGTGATCAGTAAAAGCTGGGGTTATCAAGTGACCCAATAAGAAGCTTTGCTCCCCAGGAATCTGAGTTATCTTTGGTGAAATCACAGACTTATAAAATGTGGGTGCTGGACAGTTCTCTTGGGATTATTCGTTCAGCGCCCTCCAAGAGAGAGAAAGAACACTCAGAGAGGTTGGCTGAAGGGACAAAGCCAGTTTGTGACAGAAATGCATTTTGAACCAGCTTAGAGAGAAGCTGGTAGAAGGAAACACCTTCTAAAGCTTTCCTGTGTGGGGCCTGGTGAGGATTAAGGGTCACCCTAACCTCTAATACTTGTACATGGAGCTGAACACTAAAGCAATGTCTATCCTAAGACTCATAGAAAAGAGAGGTCAGGTGTCCAGAGAAGCTACCAAGTTAAAGAAAATGACAGCAAAACCCAGTGTGAGAAAATAACATCTTTTGTTTAAAGCACTGGTTTTATTTGCATTTTTTTCTCCTATCTGCTGAGAACTTCATCTTAACACAGCCCTAACCCCTTCTGCCCTAGGGGCCTGCATTCAGAAGATTTCCAGCCTTGTTACACTATTCTCTTTCTAATAATGACTCACGCGGCAAGTATGGTGGGCCCTCCTGGTGACAGTTATTTTAGGCAAGTGTCCAAGCGAAGCAAATATCTCCGAATAACTTGCCTGACAGACTGTTAAGGTGAAAATATTTGTATACCAGTAAAAACATCAACACGTTTTCTACTTGTCCGTATAAACGTATCCAGTGAGATCATGAGGGAAGACGCTTTGAGAAATGCGAAGTATCTGCAGTTATTTGGCATATTTATCATTTGTATTTAGTTAGCCAGATGGGTGAAAGAGCAGCTCACAATTCCCGCAGGACAGAGTGGTTTTAACATAAGCAAACTGTCCACATTTTTTAGGCCTTGTTCATTCTGTCCAGAGCTGTCTTTTGTCTAGAGATCTTGAGTGTGATCCCCGTTAAATGGATTCTCACATCCACGGCCACTCAGTAACCCAAGAGGCACGTGGCCGATAGGCTGGTCAGACCATGGGTCCTGCCCCAGGAGGGAGGGCAGTCTCTCTGTCCCTCACGCCTTCCTGACAGCTTTAGAACCTGAGAGGAAGCACTGTGTGTGGCCTTCAGGGAGTGAGCCTGGCTTTCTTGGTTTTGATCAACCTAATGACACGTTTGGTTTCTTATATGTATAATGGAATTTAAAAATCTCCACATCCCAGCCGTTAAATTTACATACACACACACACACCTTAAAAAAAAGAAAAAAGTGGTATTTTTAGGTCCCTTATGGTAAAACTCAGTGGATTCTGTGCTGTGAGGAGGAGGTGGGAAAACCCTTCATGTTTATGGTTTATTTATTAGATTAGCTACTTTCCCTAGAAGAGCTCAAGGGCTTAAGACCATGCTTATGGAGAGCTAAGCAAGGTAGGGAATCCCAGTGTGGGCCCTGGGCAGGTGAGGGGCAGCACAAGGTCAGGGTGGGGCTGAAGACACAGTTCCAGTGAGACACAGCTGGGCTCCAGCACCCAGAGGCTGTGCCTACCCTGTGGCTATTCCCCAAGCCCCATCCCTGCCCCCTACCTTGCAAACCACCCTCAACCCCTCTTTATTTCTCCCCAGACATATTTCTTTTTTAGCTCCCTAAGTTGTAAAACAGACCCAAATTTCTTGGAACATGGTGTGGGAAAGACTAAAAGAAAACCCTAAGCCCACTCAAATGGAGCATTCTTTTTCTTTGGCCTTTGTATATAACACTTTTATTTTTTCAAACCTGTTTCACACTTACACTCAAATTCAAACCAATCTCTGCAGAACATGAATTAGAACAATTGTTATGATTCTTGAGTTTAATATTTTTCAACCAAGATAGCATTTCCCATTGATCTTAAGTTCTAGCTACAGGCTCTTTCCCTCTTAGCCCGCTCTCCCCATACACGCTTTGATTGCTCTCAAGCGGATGTGTTCCAAACAAGAACTCATCCCCTTGAGCAGGATGGGGTCTGTGGATTACTAATTATCTACTGGATCTAACTGTTGGACCTGACGATTTCCATGGAGTTTGCACATGTCAGGTTTCCCTTAAATTCCTCAGAAAATGGTTCTCATCTCAACTGCCTCTAGAGAACAGTTAAGAAAGGTAAAAACACCCCCACCAATGAATTGCCAGGACTAGTGGAGATCTTAACCCCATTATAATCTTTGTCACACAAGGCAGATCCACATGGCAGATGACAGGTCCCCCCTTGCTGCACTGACCTGAGCACTGTCCTCTCCCAGGCAGCCACAGGTACAGTGGGACTGGATGGCTCATCTACTTCCACCCTGAGAGCGTTCCAGTTTAGCTGAAGTGTTACACCCTGCTGTAACAGAAGCCCCGGTGAAAGGCCAGGTCAACGAGCTCATGAGTATTTCCACTAGCATGAAGCTGACCAATGACCTCAGAGAAAATCTTTTCTTACTCCCAAAGCATAATTTGAATTTTTATGAGAAGTGAGAAGGGGGAGGTCAACTATTTTGAACAAATATTATCTCAAATTCATAGGATGGATGTCTTGAGTGACCCACTGCACCTATGCCTGCCTCCGTTCCCAAACTACTCTTGCCCTTTTGTAAATCTTAGTCTGCAGCCTACTATTGAAAGCTCAGCTGTGAGCCCCAAAAGACTTATGGTAAAAGCAAAGCTGCTGCAATTCAGGGGGCAGGGATAAAGAAGGAAAGGCCAGTGTTACACGTTACATTGCAATGAGTGGTCTGTACAATACTGCCCAGATTCAAAAGAAACATTTTCATTGATCCAAGCAAAATTTTAGGAGAGATTTAGGAACACATTTTTAAAAAACATCCTGAAAACTTTAGACACCCCCCATATTCTGCTCAGCCCACATATACACAATTGTTCCAAAGTATTTGCTACTCTCTTTTTTTTCCAAAGTATATCCAGCTTTATTAAATATACTTTTTATAAACAATTGCTGTATTTCAGGCAGACACTTGTTAGCAATAGACAACAATTTTCAAACTCCGTTCTTCATTGGACTACCAAAATCAAAGCCGCTATAAAACCCAATGAAGTCTTCATATGATGCTCTGAACAGGGAAAGTTTTGAGTGAGGGTTAACATTTCACATTTAGCATATTGTTCAGCTACTTTTCATGAGCTGATCCTGACTTTCAGAAAATGAAATGAAAATGGCAGAATTATCAATCTGAAGATCCACAATTTAAAAAAGGAACTACTGCTCTTTGGTGGAATGCCATCTCAATGGCATCACTGGAAAGCCCAGATTGCCTGACATACTGGTAGCCAGTTTTGGGGGATCAGGTCCCAGCAGGTCTCTGGGTTTAAGGAAGTTAAGTCTATGCTGAAGACAGAGAGGGAGAAGAGGACATAGAAACGAATGTTAGTTTTTCCATGCCACAGGCATTTTGTGCCAAGGTGGCTATGTGTGTCAACGTCAAGGAATCTCTCCTCCTGGGAGCCAAGAGGAAGGCTCTCAAAACTAAAAGGAAAAGGTGTTTTTCCACAGACCAATCCAGCTCAGAGACATTCTATTAGTAACATATGCCCCTTCTCCAAAAAGCGGTGAAATGTTCTGTGTGCTAACAACAGAGCTTAAAAAAAGGTAAAACAAAATTCTGCATTTTTATAAAACTCAATTTTAAAAAATAGTATTTCAGACTGTACAGTCAGCGGAAGTGCACAGTTATCACAAATGCACACACCTCACTCGGCATCTCCAGCGCCTGCAGCTGTCTGTGCCTGCCCTGTTTTGGCATCTCCATTTTCTGCGTATTCTCATCCTCGCCAGCTTCAGGTTTTCCCTTTTACCCTTTGAGAACCTTCTCCTCCTTCTGTGCAGGGGCCTTTTTAGGCTTGGGCTCTGGCTTTGGAGGAGCAAGTTTAGCAGACAAGCAGATCTTGTGTATGGCTCGTCCTTCACCTTGGTTTTGCCTTCGTTAGCGTCTTCTCCAGCCTTTCTCTTGGGCATGGTGGTGATGGCGGTGGGATGTAGGTGCTGGACATGGGGACACAGTGGCATCTGGGTCGTTCTTGCCTCTTCTTCACACTGCTCCTTCCTTATTTTTCTTTTTCTTTTTCTTTTTTTTGTCTTTTTCGTGACCGGTAAGGGGATCGCAACCCTTGGCTTGGTGTTGCCTGCACCGCGCTCAGCCAGTGAACACACTGGCCACTCCTATACAGGATCTGAACCCGTGGCGGGAGCATCGCTGTGCTCCCAGCGCTGCACTCTCCTGAGTGCTCCATGGGCTCGGCCTGATCCTTCCTTATTTTTCTTTTTCTTTTTCTTTTTCTTTTTCTTTTTCTTTTTCTTTTTCTGTTTTTTGTCTTTTTCGTGACCGGTAAGGGGATCGCAACCCTTGGCTTGGTGTTGCCTGCACCGTGCTCAGCCAGTGAACACACTGGCCACTCCTATACAGGATCTGAACCCGTGGCGGGAGCATCGCTGTGCTCCCAGCGCCGCACTCTCCTGAGTGCTCCATGGGCTCGGCCTGATCCTTCCTTATTTTTCTATATGTTAAAGAGGATGGAGTTGGGGCTCAGGGGACAGTAGAGACAGAGATCATGAAGACACTTAGATCATGAGGAGGCTTGTGGAGGAATGATAATCCCTGGGGGTACAGAGTAGGACTCAAGCCACCAAAACCGAGCCTGATTCCCTTCACAGTTTTGCTAAGGATGCCCTTATCCATAACTGAATCCCCTCTTATCCTAAATGCTCTAGGTTTTTCTAGTTTGAATATGAGAAGTTTGAATGTGAGGAATTTGTTCTTTTCATTGGGAAAACAGCCATGGGCAAATGTCAGCAGATGTTACTGCTCCTTGAGGATGTTTCAGAATGTTTACCCCCTAAGATTGTTGAGATTCCTGTGGCCTCAGAACCAGGACTGAACTATTAACCTAACTGTTCATATAGCCCAGGATAGGGACAGCAAATGCTGACATCTTTAGTTGGCCCGACGCTCAGATTCAGCCTTCACCAACTGCCCAACTGCGGGCCTGTCTTCCATTCTGCAGGTCCTGAGTAACCTGGTGTTGGAGGAGCTCCTGCCAACCCTTCAGACAGACCTGCTGCCAAAAATGAAGGGGAAGAAGAGTGACAGAAAGAGGGCCTGGCTCAGCGTGAGTGACGATTTTGCTCTGCAACCTTCTTTTCAGGGCATTTGGGTGTGTGTGCATGTGTGTGTGCGTGTGTGTCTAACAATTCCTTCCCTGGGTGGAGAAATGCCTACCTCGAGCCTGCTCAATCTCACTTCCATGAGGACTAATCCAAACAGACTCAAACTTTGAAAGAAAAATTAGTGCATGTGCAGTTGTGTTTATGTTATGATAGTCTTCCATGAGCTGTCCGCCCTCTGCTTGACTGCATCGGGTGCTTACATACAACAGAGCCCCGATTTATGTGTTATTCCCTGTTGCAGCTCCTGGAGGAGGCCTACAACCTGGTTCGGCATCAAGTTTCAGAAGGATTAAGTGCCTTGAAGGAGGAATGCAGAACTCTGACAAAGGGCCTGGAAGGAACCATCCGCTCAGACATGGATCAGATTGTGAACTCCAAGAACTTTTTAACTGGGAAGATCAAAGGTCAGTAGAGATAATCCACACTCCTATTAATTAAATAAGCTATACGTTAGGGGATCTACCACGTGGCTAGAAACATGGTTTCAGAGGAGAGTTAAACTGAGGAAATTGGGAAGAAGTGATAACAGTTGTAACAAGAATGTGCCAGAGGTGCTGCCAAGGGCCGGGACCCTCCCATGGAAGCTTCATGACACAAGGCGGAGGAAACTTTGCTCCTTGCCTTTTGGTGGTGCCTGTGTGTTCTGATACTGCCTGTACTTTCCCCACTGTAGCGCTTTGCACAGGATTATGATGCCTTCTGCCCACCTCTCTCTGTTGTAAGCTCTCAAAGAGCAGAGCCATGTTGCCCTGGTGTACTCAAGTGTACCCAGTGCTTAGTGCCGTGCCTGCCATACACAGACTCTCAGGGAATATTTTAATCAATGAAGAATTGGATTTTCCTTTGACTGGAAAACCTACAGTTTTGGCTTAGACAATAAATTTGGACTTCTAGGCCCACCTCCAACGTTGACCAGTCATGTGTACACGGGGAGGCCACTCGACTTCTATTTGCCTCAGTGTCCTCCTGTGAAATCAGGACGGCTCCCAAGAGTGGGGTCAGAGACTGTGGTGGTTGGGTCACATGTGCCCCCCTCCCCGCCCTGGTTTTTGTGAGTAATGTTTTATTGGAGCACAGCCATGCTCATTTGATTACGTATTATCCATGGCTACTTTTAGGCTACAACAGCAGAATTGGGTAGTTGGAACCGAGAAGTTATGGGCTGCAAAGTCGTAAATATTCACTATCTGGACCTTGACAGAAAAAAGTTTGTCTGTTCCCACACAAGAGGCCTTAGCTGGCCTCTAAGGAATTCTACAGGATACGATTCTGTGGTTCTCTATTCTATCTGTGGCCCCCACGACCCAACAAACACATCACACGTAATGTCACTTCAGAGCAAAAGTGTGTAGGTTCATCTCTGGTAGTTTATCCATAATCTTCTTACGTAGTTCTCAGCTCATTCGCTTACTCACACACTCATTCATTTGCTAAAAAATATGTACTAAGTGCTTTCTGAGCAAGGCAATGGAGTTTGGCAGTGAACGAGAAAGACTCAGTTCCTGTACTCAGAGGCTTACAGTCTGTCGGGACATTGTCTGCTTGGTGGATTGTCCTCCATAATTCAGAACCTCCTCAGGCTGCAGCCTGGCTTGTTTCTGGGCTTTAGAACAGGTTGCACCGAGAGATTAGAGGGGGCATAACTACAGCAAGGGTGTGCGTGTCTGTGTATCTGTGTGTGTCTGTTCACGTGATGCCTTCCAAAACCAGATATAAATTAACTGCAGAGTGTTTTTTGTTTGCCGTTATCCATGTCCCTATGTCTCCATCAGCACAACTGATGTAGAGTTGACTCCATATTGAAATGTTCCATACAACTTAAAACTGTCAGCACCCAACTTCTGTGCCAAACTTTCTGTTATCTGGGGCTAGCTGGGCCTCACCATGGCCTGAATTAAACTGTTCTCTCTTGCCTAAATCTCTGTGGCTCTTGTGTATCCACAGACAGTGGAAAAAGATTCCACCCTGGACTAGTCTTTGTTTCCTGAAAGAAGCCTTGGAAGGAACTAATGATCAAATTTTTAAAAAATGATGTATCAGAAACATATTTTAACCAAGCCTCTGGTTCTCCACCTTTAACACAAGGAAGTGTACGTTGTTAGCCTGCGTTGATAAAGGGCTTTGGATTTCAAAAAACTTTGGGAGTATTAAGTAATGATCTCTCCATTTCCTCCCATGTGACTCTTGGGAGTAAAGAAACTGAGCTTTCGTTCTGCTCCACAATTATTTATTCATTCAGTAAGGATTTATTCCACTTCTGCTGAGTACAAGGGCTATGAGGATTCAAAAACAACATAATTTTACAAGTAGAAGAGGATATGAGCATGTCACTGATACTGAGACAGAAGGAAAAATATGATAAATGCCCTGTGAGCGGCAGGAACACAGAGCACAGTGGTTCCCAGCCAGGAAGCAGATCCTATTTCAACTTGAGAAAACTGCATGGGCTCCTCATAATGAGAGAACTGTTGTAGTGTAGTGTGGGTGACTGGAAAACATAACACCAGCAGGTACAATAAGGCTAACAGTTACTGAATACTTCCAGTACATTTCTAAGCACTGTGAATAATAAGCTCATTAATCCTCACCATAGCCCCCCAGAAGTAATTACACCACGATCTCCATTTTACACATAAGAAAACTGAGGCAGAGTCTCAGTAACTTTCCTGATCAGCGCCAGCCTTTCAGGCTTCGTCACTTTCAACTGCTTCTTGGCAACTGCCTTCTCTTCAGTGAGGCTTATGAATTAATGTGTTCAACATCATGTTTATCACAATAGCATCTCTGTATGCTTGAAAAATAGCAGAGCATACACATATGGGGCCTGAGATTTATTCAGCCCACAAGGAAACACCTGCCGACTACAGCTCAGGAAGCTGTGAGATGGTTCTGGGGCATGAAGCTGTCCCGAGTGGGTGACATTTGAAGTAGGCCTTGAAGGGACGAGTAGGATGTTTACAAGCAGAGGTGGAGGAAGGAAGGCAGGAGTAGAAGGAACACTGAAGAAAGGCACAGAGAGGGGGCTGGAGCACACTTTGGTAAACAGGCGGCAGGAAGAGAGCAGGCAGAGGGGAACATGCCCTCCCACCGGCCCTGCTGGGTGTATCTCCACCCCTCCCAGCAGTGAAATCGGCCAGCTGCTGCTAAGTCCTTACTGTGTATTACCACTGTTCGGGATTATTCTGAAATTTCCATAAATAGTTCCTCTCTGAAAGTTAGTTAACTAGTAATTTATTCTCTCCTGGCAAACCATTTTGCATTTTGGTTATCAAGCAAGTTGCTTTTTGAAGAATCATGGATTGTTTCTTATTTGAATCAGACAATTGAAAGGGTTTTTTTCCCTAATATTCTGTGACCTGTTTACTATTTTATATCCCAAATACTTTATGAGTAATTCATAATATGAATAGTATTGGTCACCTTAGATTCTCAGTATAAGAGGCCAAAATCTGGTTCTCTGTAACTCTGCAAAATATTTCTGCAAATTGAAATAAAAATGTGCCTATTTATCTTCACTGTAAGCAAGTTATTTTCCAATAGGAACTTAAGAAACACACTTGAATTGTAGTCCTACTTCTGCAGATTAGAATACGACCTTGGTCAAGTCATCTTGACCTTGGTCAATAGCTCCTTTTTCCCCATCAGTTTGTCCTTCACTTTTCAGTTGTGACCCTATGACAAGGATATGTGGCTCGACTAGCTCCACAAGGCCCGCCTTCCAGGCCTCTTCCAGCTCAGGCGTCCTACACAACATCCTGCTTCCAAACCTGGCTGAGCAGGAGAGTCACCTCTGCACTGAAAAAACTGCAGATCTCCATGTCTTCCCCAGGCTTACTGGATCAGGATCTTTACCACCCTAGTCCTCCTCTAAATCAAAGGGCAGTACTTGCCTCTGGGGAGTGGGATTATGGAGACTTTTTTTTTGTCCTTCTTTACGATTTTCTGTACTCTTTATATTTTTGTTACTAAGAATGTCATCCTTATTAGAAAAAATATTGCATTTTGTCTTCATTGGGAATGGGGACAAGAGGTGAGGTGGCAGACTGAATGGAATTTGGTTCCATTTGCCAAAGAAAAGACTGTACTTGAGTTTTTGAAGACTCTTCGTGGGGGGAAGGGGATGCAATTATATTGACTGATTAACTCTTAGAGAAGTGAATTAAAAATTAATAAATTATGTTTTTAGAAGACAAAACATGCATGTATAATGATGGTGATTGATAGTAGATAGGTGGGTTGCCAGCCTTTTCTTCTTTGTATTAGGCTTTTCACGTTCATAGGGACCAAGCAGAAAAATGCATTTTATCCCAGGGCAGAGGAAAGCTTGGTGCGGGGAGCGATTCTGTTTGCTCCAATTCTCAAAGCATCCGGTAGTTTTCTACTCTGGCGAGTGATGGCACGGGACTCGCTGGGCTAGTCTAGTCTGTTTTGCCCATTTACGCTCGCCTTGGCTGTTAAATGGCTCCATGGGGCACCGTCCAGCTCTGGCCTGGCTCAAGTCACAGTGCCTCCAAATCCAAGTTTGCCCTAAGTCACAGTGGCTATTTCCCACCTCAGCAATGGTGGCCCAGCCGGCGGAGAAAAGCTGTATGGAGAGTGTGCAGCCATTCCTGGCGTCCATTCTGGAGGAGCTCATGGGACCGGTGAGCTCAGGATTCAGTGAAGTACGCTTGCTCTTCGAAAAAGAAGTGGATGAACTCAGCCAGAACTTTCAGACCACCAAAGACAGTGTCCGGCTAAAGGAGGTAGGACACAAAGCTGAGGAGCTGAGTGTGAATGGTCTGCCTGGAGCTTCCTTTCCTACGGGGTTTTATCTGCCATTCAGCCATTCATTCTTTCTTCCTTCCCCCTTCCTTCTTTCCTTTCTCCCATTTATCTGTCCTTCCATACATTCATCTAGCCTTTCTTCCATCCATCTAACCACTCCATTCATCCATCTATTTATCCATGCATCCACCTGATTTTCTTTGTTGATGGTTTTCAAGTTACAAAAATAATATCATATTTAAACAGTATACTCAAATATATATATAAAGGCAAAATTAATCACCATCACTGATACCCACTAATCCTAGCCCACCCCCAACTCCTAGGCCACCTCCATTTCCAGCTCCCTGATGAATTAACTAATATAGATAGCTTGGTACGTGTTTTATACTTTTTCTCTGTTCACACAAATATATAAACATATATCCTCATTTACAGAACTTATGTTTGTTGGTTTCTTGTTTTCAAAAATAAGACTTATGATATAGTTTCTCAAGTAGCTCCTGAACCAACAGTGTCATCATCACCTGGTTGTTAAAAATGCAAATTCTCAGGTCCCACCACAGATCTACTGAATCAGAAACTCTAGAAGTGGGGCCCAGGAGTCTGTTTTAACAAGACTCCCAGAGGATTTCGTGCACCCTAACTTTTGAGAATCACTGGCAAAGACGTAACTCGGCAGTGTGATTCTACACGTGACATATCATAGCGAAAATCCCTACTAGTCAGTAGATTCCCAGAGGATTTCGTGCACCCTAACTTTTGAGAATCACTGGCAAAGACATAACTCGGCAGTGTGATTCTACACGTGACATATCATAGCGAAAATCCCTACTAGTCAGTAGACAAAACCAGACACCTCCGTTTCTTTTCCTTTCTTATTTATGCATAACATACACAGATGTAACTGTCCATGAACAGGATTATTTCATAAATGCTTTGAGGCTTCTTATCGCAGGCCTGTTTTTTTTTTTTACTTGTTCTTATTTTCTCTCTTTCCCTGATGCCACCCACCTCCCCTCAACTAACTACTGCAGACAACTTAACACATGCCATTCTGTACTTTTCCCCATGCTTATGTAGTATGAGAGTACTTTGAAAAGTTCATGGAAAAATAGAACTAAAAGATAATATAAATCTTTCCATGAACTTTCTGAAGACCCCTCATAAGTGAAACATACACATTTATAGGCTATTTTTAAAAAAATTGTTTGCTTTTAGAAAAAATGGGATTATATTTTTTATACTACTTTGCTTATCAGTTTTCTCGCTGAAAAATACCTCATGCAACTGTGTGCAAGGCAACCGTTCTAACTCTAAATCATTCTTTGTAATGGCTGCATAATCTTTCATGTATGGATACACCATGATTTATTCAACCATCTCCGCATTGCTGGCACCATGAACAAAGCTACAGTTAATAACCTTGTACGTATATTCTTATACCCTGATGCTTTTATTTCTATGGGATACATTCCTCAGACAGAGTTGCTATGTTGAAAGGTATATTTCTCATGGTGACAGGGGTTCCCACTGCATTTCAAAAAAGATTTAAACTTTACATTTCCACCGATTGTGTATGGCAGGAGACTTTTATCCGTTGTCTTTCCATCAGTAGTAGGTGTTATGACTTGCTTAAACTTTTGCCAATCTGATAGGAGCACAGTGATAAACCATTTTTCCTCTCCTGTGGGCTTCACTGATATATTTTTAAAATAGTCATGTTCAGTATTGTGTGAGGAGGGGCAGGTTTGACAGCTTGCTTTTGATCATAATTCCACTTCAGTTCTCCTTTAGAGCACAATGAGGATGGGCCCTCTGAAAATGTCTGTGTAGAGAAATCTAGGTTTACCTCTGTTCAGTGAGCTGAACGTCAGAGAGTGCGTCCTGTACACTCACGCTCACCTGCGTCACTCCCAGGTCTCCCCAGAGCCTCCACTCTCAGCGCCTTTCTTTCTGTCTTCTCCATCTCCACCCATTCTCCTGTGTATTCTAAACCTCCAGTATTCAATTAAAAAGTTATTTTTAAGTAAGCTTGGAAAACAGATTGCATTCTGTTACAACAACATTCACAGTGTAAGAGTATGTTGATAACACTTGAGGCCTGTAGCAGACAAGCCCTGTGGCCTCATCGATTATGCTATCACTTAGAGTAGGAGGGCCCCAGCTTTTAAAACTGGATACCTGTCTCAGGGCCGGCCTCTTCCTATCATGCACTCCCTGTCTGCTAGCACCGTACAGCAGCCCACAGCAGAGGGAAGCCCCGTGGGCACTGGCAGAGCCTCACAGAATGGTGGGGAATTCTGGCTTCCCTCCCAGAATCCAGGAGTCTAGGGAGCATCCCAACTTCCCCGGGGCTTTTGGAGAGGGCTGTCACTCGTTGAAGAAGACTTTGGAAGCTTGTGGGCCCAGCAGCAAAACATGTGCCAAAGAGCCTGCCTGCCTGGTTCTTGAGCTCTGGAAGTGGAGCTCAGAGCCCATCAAGAGCTTATGAGGGCCGGAGACCACTGAGTGCACCCCTGGTCTTCCCATCGTCTGGTTGGTTCTTCCAGCGGTCTGTGTCCTAGCAGTGGAGCTGCTCCAGGGACCCATTAAAGAAAGGAAATAAGAATCAAAGATGTGACCAATGTAGTGATCAAAGTAGTGATTCACTCTAATAATGTATATTTAATTGTTTAGAATGTAGGTAATGTGCAATATGTATGTAATATCACTCCTAAGTCTGAAGGTATTCAATTTTTCCCTTCACCAAAATGCAGCATCTAGACCTGCTTATGAATCTTCCACTGGATTCTGTCAAGATGGAACCTTGTTATGTTAAAGTCAACCTGCTTCAAGAGCGCCTGCAGGATCTTAAGAGCCGCTTCAGATTCCCCCACGTTGATCTGGTGATCCAGAGGACTCAGAACTACATGCAAGAGGTGGGAGCAGCAGGGGCGTCCTTGGTGGATGAGGAGGGAGAGAGAGCAGAGAAATAGGTGCTGGCGAATGAGACCCGGGTACCAGTGTAGCTCAGGGAATGAGGCCCATTTCCTTAGTCATCATGTTGAGTGAGGACATATTCTGTCTTTCCAACTGGTTTTATCTTTTTTTCCATGTTGATGAATATCATAGAGAAGAAATATCTCAAGGAAATAAAGTAGCATTAATTGATAATTACATGATTTGTCAAATCAGTGCTTTTTTTTTTCTTTGTCTTTTTGTCTTTTTCCGTGTCCGGCAACGGATCGCAACCCTCAGTGTTGCCCCCGTACCGGACCGGGGACCAGCAATGGGATCGCAACCCTCGGTGTTGCTCCCGCGCCTCGCTCAGCCAGTGAGCGGGAACCGGTCTGTATGTGGGATCCGAACCCTCGGGCGGGAGCGCCGCCGCGCTTCCCAAGCGGCGCACTATCCAGTGCGCCACCGGGCCGGCCCTCAAATCAGTGCTTTTAACCTTGGCAGCACACTGGAGTCATCTGGAGAGCTTGTAAGAAATGCTGACGGCTGGGCCTTGTCCCCAGTGATTCTGATTATATACATTTCTGTACTTTTTAAAGAACTCTCCCTACCCTCATTTCCACTGCTTCTAATGTGCTTCCAGGACCTTAAATTAATTCTCTAACATAGGAGTAAAGGAATCAATCACTTACAGCTTCGTATTTGAATTTCTTAAGTCTACTTGATAGGTTCCTTTTTTCCCCAGGAACAGAAAAGAATAGCAAAACCTCCCTCCATTTTATCACGTTTCTTAAATGAAGAAAGGGTGTGATCACTGAAGCTGTAAGGAGACAATTCTATTTCACAGATATTCTGGGGGGAGCTTACTGTGGGCTGGACACTGTGCCAGATCCCACTCCAGGGAGCTTATAGTGAGACAGATAAATTCTCTGTGCAGTGTGGAAAGTGCTGTGATAAAGGTATGCATTGGATGCCTAGGGGTCACAGGCCTGGGGAAGAATGGAGTGGTTTTTAGGTTTGTTTGTTTTGTAAGTTATGGGCAGGATTAAGCAATACATCTTATCTAACCCCTGAGTTGTGAGGGTGTATGAACAAAACAGAATTGGGTAGTAGTTTAACCGAAGTCCCTTTGGTAATACAGGACCCTAGTGAAATGGATACGGGCCTCACGGCAGAGAATAAGACATCTGAACTACTTCCGTTTCCTGACCCATGAGCATGTCAGCCACTGTCTATACCAAGCCCTGACCTTCCCTCCCTTCCCAGCTTTGCAGAGAAAGGAAGAGATGGGAGGTGGCAGGATGGAAAGTAGAGAGAGAGATGTGAGGCAGAGTGCTGTACGTCTAAGTGGAGGTGCAGACAAAAAATAGTTGGGGGAGGCTCCCAGCTCATGTGGTTAATCCATGGCTGCAGGTACCAGAGAATGGAGGAAGAGGAATGACGGCAGGAGTGGTGGTATTCTCTGTCCCATGGTCTTGGGTGATGGAGAGGAGATGAGAAAAAAAGATAAATGCATGCATGTGCGTGTGTGGAACGCACGCGCGCGCGCACACACACACACACACACACACACACACACGTGTTTCTGAGCCTCTTACTGATCTCCCTGTGGCCACATGGCTGTTTGTTTCACAATCCAGGGGGTGGGATGAGGACCTGTTGCCCGGGGTCACCCCTGGAGCAGGGCCCGAGGGAACTCATCTCTGATGGCTTATCCCCTCCCCTCTCTCCAGCCCAATTAGTCAGCTCCGTTAGGCAGACCCGAGGGTAGCGACCCCAGCCTCTGACTGTGGTCTGTTTCTGTGTTGCTTTTGGTTTCTAGCTAATGGAGAATGCGGTATTCACTTTTGAGCAGTTACTTTCTCCACATCTCCAAGGAGAAGCCTCCAAAATTGCAGTTGCCATTGAGAAAGTTAAGCTCCGAGTCCTAAAGGTAAAACCATTCTCTCATTTGTGGGATGCGCAAAACAAGAAAGTGACCACAATTTCTTTTGTTAAGTAGAAAATACCATGTTCTCTCTTTCACTCTAATCTTACTCCCTCTTCTTCCTCTCCAAAATAGGATTGATTATTCAGCAGCAGGGCCCAAAGAATGACTTTCATGCCTGTTCCGCCATCTAGTGGTTGCTGTGGGGTCCTCAACGTCATTACCCGCAGCTAGAAGGGCGTCCGGGCTTTCTGTCATAGCAATCGGACTTGATATACATTTATTGGTGGTCCACTAAAAGCATTGTGATACGTATTGCATAGGCAAGGCACAGCCTCTTTCTTCAAAGTCTTTACAGTACAGTAAAATTCATTAAATTGGTCAACATTTTTAAGAAAAGTCAAAACCAATGGGAGCTTGAACATATGTGGTATACTTTTAAAGCCATTTTTTTTTACCTACTCTGTTTCATTTGATCCTCACAAGAACATGGTAGATAATTAGAATATGTCACCATTGTACAGGTGAGGAAACTGATCCTCTCAAAGCTAAAGTGACTTACTTAAGCTCAACAGGCTCTTCAATGGCGAGCTTAAAGCTAAACAATTCTTACACCTAGTCTAGTAATTTTTTACTACCTCTTTCTCTAAGCCAAGCTCTGGAACAGAAGATAAAAGTCCCACAGAGCCTTGATGTGGTCCCTGAAATTCAGACCTGATCTTGGTGACTCACACAGGAAGAAATTCTAGCAACCAAATCATTGAGATTAAAAGCAGTGTTGATCGTGGTAACACAAATAATAATGAACTTGCAATTGAGTTGAAAGAAAAGACAGTATCAGTTAAGTGCTTCAGCAGACAGAAGGAGAGGAAGAAAGCAAGCAGAAAGGAATTCAAATATTAGGACCTCAGGTTCAACTTCATATCCAGTGCTAAGAACGTTCCTGCTGGGGGCTGTCCCACCACCGCTTGGACACCTCCAGTGTTAGGATACCTCTACCTCCCAGGACAGCCCATTTCATCTCCAGACACTTTCGAGTGCAAGAACGTGCTTTCTTATGTCAGACTGAGGGTCTCACAACTGGTGATTCTAGTTTTACCCTCTGTTCATAACCTTCTTTCACGTGGCAGCATCTGGTGGTTCGAGTAGAGCTATAATTTTGGCCCAAGTTATTATCTCCAATATAAATGCCTTCATGTCTTTAACCATTCTTCCTTTGGCTTCACCGTTCTACTCCTGTGTCTGTGCCTACACTCCAGTTTGTGATCCCCCTGAAGTCACATCTCAAGTTAAACCCTGATTTCGATGCTTGGACATTCAGTGCAGAAAGAGAGACTTGTTATCTTTCTTGTCCTAGATGCTAAACTTCTTTGGTTAACATGTTACAGTGTTAGTGGATCTATAAGCCAGGCTCTCTCTTCCCTGGTGGAAATTGTTACAACCCACTGACCCGAGATGATCATGGTTTCCATGGACCTACGGGAACAGGGGTGATGAAGTACAAACTCACCCCTGCAAGGTTATTCCCAACTTCTTTAAAACTCAGAAGTCATTACTATGTTTTGATCTTGCCTCAGTTTCTATTTCTGTAAGGTGGGTGGGTGAGATAGGTCATTATTCATCACAACCTACTCCTGGAATGTGAGGGAATTACATAGAAAGATCTCTGAGACCTTGGAAATACAAGAGTCCTCAGAAATAAGGCGGGAAGAGGGAGATGGAGAGGTTGGCTGAGTTTTTTGTTTAAGTGAAAGTTCACAGATTGTAATGTTGCTATTTAACATATGTTTCTGTATTGACAGCAATATGATTACGACAGCAGCACCATCCGGAAGAAGATATTTCAAGAGGCACTAGTTCAAATCACGCTTCCCACCGTGCAGAAGGCACTGGCATCCACGTGCAAACCAGTAAGGGGATGGGTTACTCCAAAGAGCCTGCTCTTATTGCCTCTGAAGTTCAGACAAGTTATTTTGCTATGCTGTACTTGCAAACAGTAGGCTAGACCAGGGAGGGGTTGGCAGACTTTTTTGTAAATGGTCAGATAGTAAATATTTTAAGCTTCCACGGGCCATACTTTCTGTTGCAACTACTCAGCTCTACCTTTGTAGTCACCTATGGTACACAAACACACGTGTGTGTGTTGCAATCAACATTATTTGCAAAGACAAGAAGCTGGCTGGATTTGCTGATCCTGGACTAGACAAAATCTAAATTTGAGCCAAGCTAAGGGTTGACACAGAACCCCTAAGGATGCCTGGTGTTCCTCATTGTAGTTTGACTCAGAGGTCCAACATGTCCTCTGAAACTTGATCACTACATCCAAAAGAGACATTAAGTAACATGATTGCAGAAGGATGTTTGTTTTAGTAAATCCTGTAGCATTTGTTTAGTGAAATCAATGAAACATTAAAAGCTGCTATAAGCATCAGGCATCCAGTGACAGCCATGATTATGAAGGTGTGAGTTAGTCTGCAGAGCAGAGTAATGGGCGAGCAGAGTCTGGAGGCTGGTTCAAGGCCTGGGTTCAAGTCCTGCCTCCTCCACATATCAGCTCTGGGGCCCTAGGCAAGTCACTTTTCTTCTGTTGGCCTAGATTTCATCTGCTATAAAATGCAGGTAATAATACTTTGCAGTATCTTACTTAAGACTGAGAAGACTAGAACGACACAATGAACATTTGATGAGTTCTTACCATGTGCTTTTCCGTGTTAAAACTTTTGTATGGATTATCTCAGTGATTCTCACAACAACCCTATGAGGAGGTACTATTTATGTCCTCATTGTACAAATGAGGAAACCTGAGTAGTTAAATAATCGTATCAAAGTCACATAGTTGGTAACCACCAGATTTTGAACTCAGTTTGCATTTGCCTACAACATGGTAGGCATTCAGTAACTGGTATCAGCTACCACTACTACTATTATTATTAATACATCTCAAAAATGATCTATGAACCTGGACATTTGCAAGGCCTGTTCCCTCTTGGAGAAAATGATAAAGAGCTTTTTAGAATTTAAAGAAGGCTTTTTGGAACTCGGAGAGTCTCCAAGCATTGGAACATTAAAATCCTTTGCATGAGTTATTTTACTGGGGACATTTCTTTGGTCATTTTTACATTCTGTAAATACTCTTTTTCTTCAGATAGTCATTGGCGTATCTAATATTTGGCACTTATTTCTGGAGGTCTATTTCTTTTAGTAGAAAAGGATTTGATTAAGCCAAGGGAGTAAAGAATCAGTCTATATCATGGTCCCTTGGCCTTATGTGGCAGAACAGTACAGCAGCCCAGACGATAACTGTGTCCGCCTCTAAACTGTCTGCACACAGATGTTCTGCTTTGGATTTTTTCTCTTTTAATCCCAAAGGCATTTTGGGGGCCCCAGAGTCATGTCCTCCCAGACAAGGAGAAGGGTAAGGAGCGTTCCTCTTTTCACCTGCTCCCCTCTTTCCAAGCATCAGCAGAGTGAGTTTTATCCCATCTATAAGAAGCTGTTGTGATTTTTAATCAAAAGGAGCTAGTTTCAAGAGCCTGTGACCCAGAGTTTTCAGTAATGAAGGACATTGTGGCAGTGTCAAGAACTTTTTTAAAATCTGGACTTACAGAATAGATAAATTAGGAGATTATCTGCTTCGTAGAAGGAGTCTTTATTTCACTAAAGTGTGTTTCCCTTGTTTCTTCAAGTAGCTACTTCCTAGATCTGTGATATTCAACCCTAGCTGCATATTAGAATTGCCTGGGAAGCTTTAAAAAAATGATTCTGACTCCCCAAGACCTACACTCAGGGATTTGAATATAATTGGACCAGGGAATTAAACATACGGCACAGTTCAATCAATTCAATATAGAAGACCTGTTTTGTGAAGTTGGGCATATCACAACAGTATCAATGTCCCCAGAAATTATTCCTTTCCACAGAATTACTTGTTTGAAATTTTAAAGGTCTACTGTTTATTCGGTAAACATGTATTAAATACGTATCAAATAGGATCTAGACGTGGTGCGAGGCCACTGTCCCTGCTGTCCTGGATTTCACAGTGTAGAGGCAGAAGACAGGCACACAGTAGCTTTGTGGGGAAGAATGCCGGGGAAGGTGCCAGACTCTGCTTATGGGGTTGGGGAGGACTTCCCAGCATTATGCTTTCACCCAGTCCAGAGGAATGAATGACAGTTAAGGGACTAAGGAGTGGGAGACCATGTAGGGAAGATGTATGATGTTCTAGGCATGAGCCTGTGCCCCTCTTTTAGCAGAAGAGACAGAGGCACAGAGTGGTGATGTGGCTTGCCCAGGGTCCCACACTAGTCCAGGGCACTGTCCAGTCTCCTGGGCAATGCTCTTTCCATATCTGTGTGTCAGAACTGTCTAATGGACCCTGTAGGGGTCATTGAAGCTCATGTCTCTCCAATCCTTTGGCTTTCCTCTTGGGTGGGTATAAAAGGACCCCATTATTGCCCACTGTGACCAGGATCTGGTCCGGGGCTACAGCACCCCCAAGTCCTAGCCCTGAGAGTTGTCTGAATGTGGTGGCTTCTGATCACCTGCTGTAAATCCTGTCTCTCCAGGCAGAAAGTATCAAATCCCACTGCTAAGTCCCTGATTCTCTAAGAGCCACTTGGGGGGAGCCCTCCCCAGCACCATCGGGTGCAAGGATTACTGAGTTAATCACTGGGATGTGATTTAGTACATTTTGATCCCTGCCCTGTCCTTATGCTGATGACAGGCAAGCCATTTGGAAACTGTTGGAAAGCAAGGAGGGTTAAGGGATTTCGTGTCATGCCCGGGCTGTCTTAGGGGAAATCAATAAGTGTCAGGGCCCATTGGAGGGGAAGAGGAGAATGTTCCTGAACAGTCCTTGACTAGAGATTCTCCCAGCCCGAAAAGGGGCCTCATTCTAATAAAGCTAAATATACATCTACCCTGTGACCCAGCAATCTTACTTTTAGGTATATACCCAAGATAACTAAGTCCTTAAGTCCAAAATATATAGGTACAAGAATACTCATAGCAGTTTTATTCATAATGGTCAAAAAGTGGAAAAAATCCCAATGTCCATCATGAGGAGTATGGATAAGCAATTTTACTTTATCCATATAATGAATGCTATTTATCAATAAAAAGAACAGTGTACTGATTCATGCAGCAACATGGATGAATTCCAAAAGCAAACATAAAAGAATATATGATTTTACTTACATGAAGTTCAAGAACAAGCAAAAACTAATCTAACATGATAGATATCATGTCAGTGCTTACATCTTGTCGGGGAGCCAGTGTAGATTGGAAAAAGGCATGGGGGAATATAGGGAGTGGTTAAAATTTTCTTCAGCTTGATCTGGGTTATGGTTACATGGGTATATTTATATATGTAAAATCATTGAAATGTACTTTTAAAATCTGTGCATTTTACTGTATATAACTTATATCTTGGTAAAGTACTGTTGGCATAAAAAAAAGGAAGATGGAAATGCTTTGGTTATGATGAAAAAAAAAGGAGGCCCCAGACCCACTGATGAAGCCTTGAAGTGATCAAAATCTCCACTGTCTTTCCCCACAAAGTGCACACAGTGTGTGCCCACTACAAGGAAAGGGAAGGGGACTCCCAGTGGCCGAGTGCCACACCCTTTCTTGGACAGTTAGTAGATGTGTCAAGATCATATGTGATGCTTACACAGTGAATTGGATTGAAAGGAACCCAATCAAATATTGCCAAATCGAGTTGTTATTTAAACATCTTTTGCCTGTGGGTCAACATTGTCCCCCTCCCATGCACTCCAAGGAGGGGGTCATGAGTGGGGGTGTTTCGTATCTCCTCGGAGAACAGGCATCTCATAACTTTTCTTCTTTATCTTCTTATGTCTTGCTCTCCAGGAGCTTCAGAAATATGAGCAGTTTATCTTTGCCGATCATACCAATATGATCCAGGTTGAAAATGTCTATGAGGAGATTTTACATCAGATCCTCCTTGATGAAACTCTGAAAGGTAAGGAAGGTTACCTGATGCTGGAGGGACCTCTCCGTAGTGGGGAGCACCCCTGAAGTGGGACCCAGTAGTGCCAGTGAGCTAAGAAAGGGGGAGAGGAAACTGACATTGGTGTGCTGGGGAGGCAACGAGGAGAGGGAAGGAAAGAAGGAAGGATACGAATTTTGATTGAGCATTCATAATTGGTCATGCTCTGTGCTGGCCCTTTACATATTATTTTCTCTCTCTCTTTTTTTTTTTCCTTTTTGTCTTTTTTACTGACCGGTAACGGGATTGCAACCCTCCGTGTCGCGCCCGTACCGGGGACCGGCAACGGGATCGCAACCCTTGGTGTTGCGCCCACACCGCGCGCTCAGCCAGTGAGCGGGAACCGGTCTCCACATGGGATCCGAACCCTCGGCGGGAGCGCCACCACACTCCCAAGCGGCGCACTCTCCAGTGCGCCCCCGGGCCGGCCCTTATTTTCTCTTTTGATACAAAGGTGAACTCTATGGGATGGAAGTTAAAGCTTCACTTTACAGATGAGAAACTGAGGCTTAGAGAGATTCAACTTCAGCTCTCTCATGAAGAGCTGTCTTCCTCGAGCTGTTCCAGACAGAACAAAAGCAAAAGGAGACTTCTTAGACAAGGGCTTGGAGCCCCTCCCGGAGCCGGGAGGAGGTGGTTCCAGCAGCAGAGTTACCGCCTGCTCTCGGCACATTCCTTGCCTCCATTCAGCCAGACAGAAAAAGACACAGGGCGATGACACAGTACCCTGTGAGCCTCGTTGGGACTCTAGCACCCAATGTCCTATGGAATCAGGCCTTGCCTGGGATTGGAGGGTAGACAGGAAAACTTTGATAAAAACATGCTGGTGTCTATGAGGAGATTTTACATCAGATCCTCCTTGATGAAACTCTGAAAGGTAAGGAAGGTTACCTGATGCTGGAGGGACCTCTCTGTAGCGGGGAGCACCCCTGAAGTGGGACCCAGTAGTGCCAGTGAGCTAAGAAAGGGGGAGAGGAAACCGTCTATGAGGAGATTTTACATCAGATCCTCCTTGATGAAACTCTGAAAGGTAAGGAAGGTTACCTGATGCTGGAGGGACCTCTCCGTAGTGGGGAGCACCCCTGAAGTGGGACCCAGTAGTGCCAGTGAGCTAAGAAAGGGGGAGAGGAAACTGACATTGGTGTGCTGGGGAGGCAACGAGGAGAGGGAAGGAAAGAAGGAAGGATACGAATTTTGATTGAGCATTCATAATTGGTCATGCTCTGTGCTGGCCCTTTACATATTATTTTCTCTCTCTCTTTTTTTTTTTCCTTTTTGTCTTTTTTACTGACCGGTAACGGGATTGCAACCCTCCGTGTCGCGCCCGTACCGGGGACCGGCAACGGGATCGCAACCCTCCGTGTCGCGCCCGTACCGGGGACCGGCAACGGGATCGCAACCCTCTTTGCCGATCATACCAATATGATCCAGGTTGAAAACGTCTATGAGGAGATTTTACATCAGATCCTCCTTGATGAAACTCTGAAAGGTAAGGAAGGTTACCTGATGCTGGAGGGACCTCTCCGTAGTGGGGAGCACCCCTGAAGTGGGACCCAGTAGTGCCAGTGAGCTAAGAAAGGGGGAGAGGAAACTGACATTGGTGTGCTGGGGAGGCAACGAGGAGAGGGAAGGAAAGAAGGAAGGATACGAATTTTGACTGAGCATTCATAATTGGTCATGCTCTGTGCAGGCCCTTTACATATTATTTTATCTCTTTTTTTTTTTTCCTTTTTGTCTTTTTTACTGACCGGCAATGGGATCGCAACCCTCG